AAACATTTGTCAAACCTTTTGGCGTGATTTATGAAGAGACCTGTGTCTGTGTTTGACACTAGTAGAATATGGATTGAAATATCAGATAAGAAACTGAACATGATATTCACAGTATGAATGAATGAACAACCTAAACGGTTGAAAAAGTACTGGCTTGATTAGCTCAGAGGATAGCAGAGCGTTGCGTCCGGTCATCGCAAAGATCAGGGTTCCTTTTCAACCGCTTAGGTTGTTCATTCTACTGCGAAGATCATGTTCTCTTTCACACTAATAATATAACAAAGCAAAAACAGACGATCGAACCTTTTTTGAAGACAAGTAACACATTCCATCTGCGACTTGCCAGGCAAATTTCATCAACTGATCCGCTGATAGAGTGGTCTGTGGCTTGCTATCCGGGTCCTTGAAGTACGTATCGTTTAGTCCTCGACTCTTCCTCAAATAGCCCAGCAGGTCACCATACGGTACATACTCAATAATGACTAACAGGGGATCTGCGGGTAATGAAACTAGCTAAGGTAAACTTCTCAGGCTTATGAAGATGTTTATTTAGTATTATAAAATAACTGAGATAGTACGCGTGATCTGATAGGTCAAATACCTATGGTTTATTATGCCGGTAAACCCATAGAAAAAGGCATCCGGACCACGAGCCATAAACAAAACCGGCTTAATTGATCTGCAAACAACGATTTCAGAAAGGCTAAAAAACAGAACAAGTTACTTGCCCAGCCCTTCTTAATATTAAAAGCGTTGGTTTCCACATTTTATTACTAAGCGTCACAATTCGCTACTTCCATAGCTTTAGAAGGTATAAAGTACAAAGCTGGAAAACAGTTTACATTTCACGACGATGCCAAATCGCAGAGAAAGACAACAACTGTGTGAATTTCTGGTGTAGAAAGTCTCCAGGAAAACTTAACCATATGCCAACCAGCAACAAAACGGATAGTTTTAGCATTCTTGATTTATTTTATGTCAAAATTAAATTCCTTAATGAAAGAAATTGTTCCAAAAAGAGGTCTCTGATCAAGATATGGGAGAAAATCGGCCGCCGTAGGTTGTAAACAAGCTGCCAACGATGGTGAAAGATGTCAGAGTTTCGGGCTGGTTTTTTCAACATTTGCACAAATTATTCGGTGATGTCGATGCCATAACCTACCTCAAACCACCTGACTTCACGAATCGACAAATATTAACGCCAATATGTGGCTACGGCAAAGAAACCTTTCTCCACCACTGACATATTTCCATCGGTCGCTGTACGTGCATATAAAGTTACATGGAACAACTTCGCAAATGCAGCCACGTCGCGTTACCGCAGCATTTCCTGATCATAATAACGTCCACAAAACAGATCTTAAACTGGCTTGTAAAAAGTGAATGAAGTCCTCCATTACAATAGCTGTCAGTTCTGTCTGTAACAACGAAATTCTTACGGATCGACTCAACAAAATACAGCTGCGTACAGTCTGATGTTCAATTAATTTCTACTTCTGCAGTAAACAAACCATGAAAGCATTCTTTCATTGTACGTTCGCATGAATATGTGTTGACTTTTCCTGTAAAACAGCTTTCATAAGTTATCATGTAATGAGTGCAAAAACTCGTGTTTTGAAGTGCTGCTGTTTGTTGTTTTGAGAAAGTTCAACGCTATTGATTCGTGAGTCATGATTGGCTTATGATGACTTTAAAGAGAAGACGTGACTTGATCACGGTACTAGAACCATAAATTTTTCCTAGAAGACTCCATTCTACTAAAAGTTATTTTATAAAAGCAATAGACCACACTTTCTATGGGTTTACCGGCGAGATAACCCACTTGGGATGTTGGGAGAACACGAGAAAAGCTTGTAAATCACGAGCCGAAGGCGAGTGATTTACAAGCTTTTCGAGTCGTCTATTGCTTAAAAGTACAGGGATATATGAGCGTTCATATTTCATGATAGGAAAAGAAAAAAGAACCTAACAAACAAAACAAGTTATCAGCTCTGGTCTGGAACATTTTATGTTGCGATATAGATAGACGATATTATTCACCACTTTATAAAAGAGGAGGATACTGGGCGGCCGAGTTAGCTTTCGCAAAGACCTTGGGGACTGTCATTAGGAATAGGCAAAAATTGCTGACCGGCGCGGCTTCAGTCTCTTTCTCGTTTCTAAAGAGCCGAACGGTAGTTGGAATCACATGGCTGTAATTATTTAAACCCCCTCACTATTTATTAGCCCTACTGCAGCGGAGCACCATGGGTAAGAAAATGAGGTAATCTGCTCATCCGAGAAATTTTGGTAATCACGCGACCGTACGCCCGCACGCTCGACCGACCGTCCGTCCGTACTACAGGCATACCAATGTAAAATAACTCAATCAACAGGAATGCCAACCCAAATACAACTCGAGGTTATTTTGGCGGAAAATGGCATAGCCACCCGCGCCGGCGTCTTGTAAGGCAGAGACAAACAAAGAGTCAATAAAGAGGAAACCGGAAAGAGGAATGTA